AGGAAGTTTTTGTAACCAAATCTATCCTCCCGGAGCGCGTCCTGCAAGTGGGTCACAGAGCTATCTATAGGAGTTCATCAAGTGTCACTAATCCATCGGGTTAGCAGAATGGTCGGTGAAGATCTGAGGTAGAGGTCTTTCAAGGTGTAGCTGCAGACATGGAAATAACAAAAAAACAAAAATCCGAAACCAGAATTTGGTTCTCTTGACCTAGCTTTAATTGTTGATAGTTTATCGTAAGGAAGCATGGTGGAGACAGCATTATGCTGTGGAGTTGCTTTTCACCTGTTTAGAGTTGCATTTGAAACGTAGTCAATTACGAATTTAATGATGGCACTTGGCATAATGTAATGTTTTGATTGCTGATTCTATGTTGCATGACTTTGAGTTTTGCATTTGTTAATATTTATAGCTGAAATGTGCTATATATAAAATTTGATTGATTGATTTCCTTTAGCAAGATATAACATCTTGCAACCTTTTTGATATTTATGCTTATGTTACGACAAAATCTGGAAATATTTGAAGAGGTCTGAATACTTTTGAAAGGCATTAAAGAAAATTTATTTAACACGTGGAAAAGTAATTGGTCAAAAGTTTATCTCAAGCTAAGCAGCAACTGGTTGAGGACAACTGGATGAAAGTGCTGCAGTGATGACAGAAATACACACTGAGCAATTACACATTCTGTGTTAATTTGGAGCCATGCATCATGTAAATGAGCAGAAAACAGGACAGTTGTTACCTCCACTGCAAACGCACCAAAACATGTTTGGTTGCTTTTGTAAATAATTTTTCATTGTAATTTGGCGTGGCTGTGACTAGGAAAATTTAACTTTTGTGCTTCTTGCAGATTAAAATTTATTTCATTTATTTTACTTTAAAAAAACTTGAGCATCTTCACAATTTCTGAGTGCCTTCAGCTTTTGGCAGAAAGTGTAAATGTTGTGAATGCCATGTTAGGAGAGAGGAAAGTCTTTATTTCTTAAAGACTACCGGGGGAAAGCCTCCAGAATCATCGGAGAAACTTTGAACTTAGGAAAGTGCTGTTAAAATTAAAAGAAACTTGAGTGAGATGAAAAGAATATCTTTTAAGTGAGCTGAGATATTTTTTGTCATTTTTAGTGAGTTCTTGCATCTAGTTTTGATGCCCTATATTGTAGCATACCGTATCGTACCGTATCGTACCGTATCGTACCGTATCGTACCGTATCGTACCATGTCATTTTCTTTTTACAAAGCACCTTAAAACAGCAACAATGCTGACCATGATGTTATAGAATGAAAGGATTAGAAAAATAAAGGAAAAAAATAAAACAATCAGAAGCTTATAAAATGAGAACATTTTGCTCTGACTGGTGGATTACTGCGAAAAGGGGGAGGGAGATGTCTGTCTGTTAGATAAGCCTGAAACAACAACAGTTTTATACTTCTCAAACAAATTTTACGACAAAATGTCCCAGCAAAATAATTTTGTAATAATTAGCTCCAGTGAAACAAACATGTCACAATATCTGTCGTCTAAAAATCTACATTATAATCCTGCTGTGAAATTACTGATGCTATCATTTAGATTCATATCGCGCCGTCCGTAAAAGACGCTAATTATGTATTAAAACTCTTTTCGATTTATTTCCGTTCAGTTTTTATTGACATCCCAAAGGGTAATTGGTCTCCAGTAGGCATCATAAATACAGAGATACCATCCACAAAAGATGTTTTATTCATTCTTTTAGTACAGCACAAATTGGGATTTCTTCTTTTTTTTTTTTTTTAACCTTTTTTGACTGATTTATAGCAGTTCATAAGATCATACATTGTCATAATTTCTAAGATTGTGATTAGCTAAGCATGACTTGAATTAAACTGAGTAAATTTAGAGAAATAAATTACCTGCTTTAGCATGGAACGGAAAGTTTTGCAAGCCTGCGAGTTGCAATTGCAGCGTGCTTGTTATGCTGGACAAGTTGTCGGGTCTCAAGAGAAAACATTTGCTTTCTTAGTGTTGAATTCTGAGTTTCTCCACAAAAATGGAATTCAAGAGATAATAAAAAAAGTAAGTTGTCTATTTGCATTGTCTAAGGCAGAATGATATTTCTGACATGTGGGGTGCCGCAGACACACATCAGTCACATTTAGTGACTCACGCGTTTCTGCTGAAGCGCAGTCAGGGAAACAATGCTTGCATAACCTGGTTTAGAGTGATGGATCTTGGCAAGCCTTTGCAGTGCTCACGTTGTTTAAAGATTCTTCGTTCCCCAATGGCGATGATGGCGCTAACATCTGGTCACAAGCAGACAGGTTCTCAGCAGATCTTTGACCAGCTTCAGAGATGATCTCAGACTTCAAGCTTGTTACCTATATGCTCGTTTCTATTACGTTTTTCCTTCCACTGAACTTTCCATTAATATGCCTGCTAAAATCTTGTGCCTTCTTCAGCAATGTCATGTTGTGATTTATCTTTCTTGTGAAGGGATACAATGACTATTTGCTGGGCAACTGGCAAGTCACCGTTGTTCTCCAGGATTGTTTTGACCATAACTTTGCAATATTGAAATATAGCAGAATATTACACAGAACGCTTTTGCCGCGTGGTCCCATGCACAATTCTAGCTTTCCCGAACTTAAACATGCCCGTGGCTTCAGTCATTATGAATCCAAAGCATATTTTGCTCAACAGTGAATGGAAGTAGTTGTTAAAAATATCTTTCATAGTATCAACTGAAAAGGAAACTTTTATTTTGTCAAAAATATTTTTAATATAAATAAAATCTCTTTATGGTCTGAAAATAGTCAATCTGACGATCTGGCAATTGTCTGACGATTATCAGATCAGATTGACGATAATTTTCCATCTTTTCAGATCATCTGGCAAAATGTTTAAGTCTGGACTCATATTCTTATTTTGCTTCATCCCAAGACTTTGACTAAGCCATTGTAAATTGTGACCATACCTTTATTTGAACCATTCCGTGGCTGCTCTGCATGGGTGTTTATCATGACTGTCCTGCTGGCTGGTGAAGTTCTCAGGACTTCTGGAACCTCTTGAGGTACATTCCCACGAGACTACCTCTAACCAAACCGGCCAGATTCATTTTCCCATTAGTAAATTTGGTGCAGTTCTCTGATTTTCGTACCTACTTCCGGGACAGTACTGGCAGCATCGAGGACGGTAAGGCATCTGTCCTTTTGTTTCAGTAATGTCCCTTAATAATTCTTCCACCACTGGCCTCCAATGTTTGTAACTCAGTAGAACAGAACAGCAGTGTTTGTCCATTGGCTGCTTGACCAGATGAAGCAAATCTAATCTCTTTAGGGACACAAAGTTCTCCAGAATCATGTGCCCTTTTTCTTATTGTTGTTTACTTTTGGAAAGACAGTAACTATGATGATATATTTACTGCTGCTGAACAAGAAAGCAATGTTGAAACTATTTGTAATCCATAATCCCTTGACCTCCTTAGGCGACCTATTAGCAGCTCCATGGGAGATACCGACGGCCTGTGTGCTTCTGATTTGTCAGACATTGCTGATTGACTGACCTTCTTTAATCACTTTATCGCTTCAGAAGAGCTGCGGCTCGGCCGCAACGTGAAATTCAAACCGACGTGCAGCTTTTTCTGGTCAGAAAACAGACAGTCGGAGGGAGCGCGTCGGCTCCCCACGCTCTCAGCTTGGCCCCGTTAGCCGCATGCCACGTTGATCCTCCGGGGCCAACGCGTAAGTGAAAAACTGGGCAAATTATAACCACACAGTAGCAAGTCGGACCACATGGGATCAACAGCATTCACATTGCTCTCTAATCCAAATTGCATTTGTCAGTGTGTGTTTGTACGCAGCCGAAAACACACTTGCAGAGATGAAAAGGAAAGCGAAGAAGATGGACTGATTAAAGAGGCTGCAAGACATCACCTAAACAGCATTTGCTTTTTTATCCTTTTGTTTGTTTTGTTGTTCCTAGAGAATAAAAGCTTTGCAAAGTTAATATAAATATGCATGTTTGATTAAACAGCACAGAGCTGTGGAACATTACTCCCCAGTGAGTTGGAGCTTCTCTGCAAATTGAGTTTCAGTTTTAAGTACAAGATTTATTCACGACGGCTCTTGGAGGAAAGATGATCACGTGTAGATCATTTGTTTTACGTTTGAACAAAATTCAATCCTCATTTCGTGTTTCTGACGATTAGTTTACCCACTGGTTTCTTTGCTGGCGTGCAAAACACGTTATTCAATTTAAAACAGGCAAGTTTACACATAGTGAAACTGACACGAGGGACATTCTGAGTGGTTAATTTCATTCGTATCAGTTTGATACCAAACCTCTCGTTTCGTGTCGGCTCCACCTTCTCAGCTGGAAGAATCTGTCAACTGTTTGCCTTTGAGTCTTTGACACGACAATAACTTGAGGAAAGATGCTCTGATGAGGCGTAAAACAATAAAAGGGATAAAATTTCAGCTGGACATCAAGCTCACAATTCCCACAGTGAGACACAGTGCTGGCAGCCTGATGATGTGGGAATGATTTGTTTTCAGGACGACACAAAAATGTGAGTTATTGTATTTACAATTTTATAATTGGACCGTGTTTTCACTGTTCACTGCTTATGCTTAAATGAAATGCATAAAGTTGCTTAATTTTTCTGAAATGATAATAAAGATGTTACGTAAACATCAAAGGTTTTTTTTTTTGCTTCAGAAAAAAATATCGAGCCCATTCACAACAGGAATGAAACATGCGTCAAACTTTCTTGCTGTGGTTTGTACAATTTATTGAATAAATGCACCCAACTCTGTATCTGAATAAAAACAGTGCCTCGATAACTGAGGCCCTATTTACCTTTATATTAGAAGAGGGGTAAGGGGGAAATCCATTAAAAAAATTAACACTTTTTGTTGTACTTAACATTTTTCATTTAGGAAGATTTGTTTCTTTCTACATATTTTTTTTCTCTCTCCAAAAGACAGGCATTAATGAAAAAATAAGATTCATAAAATAAAACTAAATTCCACCGTACTTTATTTTGTGTGTGTGGGCCGCACAAAAGTCACCCATAAGACCACAAAAGGCACACGGACCACACGTTTGATAACCCCAGTTTGGATTAAAACCTTTCTAGGTTTTCAGTGGTCCAGTTAAAGGACAAGACGCTCATTCGAAGCGACACACTTTTATATATAGATATATAAACAAAATAAATAACTTTAAGGTGTCTCCCCACCTTTCATCTGATATGAGTTTTATTTCATTTCACTTTTTTTTTTTTTTTTTTTTGTAAAAAACACATTTTTTTAGTTACATCGTTTTCAACATCACGTCGTTTGGCAGTGAACCACAGAGGGAGCGAGCATCCAGCTGATATTGCTCTGCTTCCAGTGTCAGAAACATCAGTGTCGGTTTTCTGGATGCGCCTTTTAAAAACCGAACTTCACACAGACGCCAGAGTGAGATATTAAGCTGAATGCACGCTCCTTCACACACACACACACACACACACACCCACGCACACACACACACACGCACGCACGCACGCGCGCGCACACCACCCACACGCACTCAAAATAGAAAAATAGTGGTCACCAACTGAACCTAGCTTCAATTAATTCAAATGCTTTTTTCATACAAAAACAAAAACAAAACAAACAAACAAACAAACAAAATCAATTTAAAGTCATGACAACACAGTTTAACAGCCTACAATCTATAGGCTAAAGGTGTCAACTTAAACCGAACCTCTATCTGTGTCAGTCCTGAACATCTTAATGCAAGAGAAACAACATATATATAATATTCATATATATAATGTGCCATGTGTGAACGTTTGATAGCAGCATCTGGATATTTTGCACTGTGGGTTTGGACACTAAAGCGGAGGGCAGAGCAGCAGGGCGGGTTCGGCTACACACACAGCACCGCCGTCTGGGGGTCCATCACCTCTTTCCTGTATTGCTCCAGCCAGTTCTTCAGCTCTGAGATCCGGTAGCCCTCCGGACCCCTCCCGCCCTGGTACACCACCCGCTCGTCCATCACGATGTAAAGTCTCTCAAAGTAGGCTCCATAAGCGGCGTTGGACGAGTTGTCCATGTTGTCCACCACCACGTTGCTCTCTGGCACCTTGGTGAACATCAGCTGCGCGGCTCTCAGCCGGTCCTCCAGGCAGCGGTGCTTGGGGATCTGGTAAGGCGCGTCGGAGCTCACCCAGCCGTCCGACGGGTGCGCCTCCTCGATGTACACAACTAAGAAGTCCGCGATGTCCGCGTACTGCCTGACGACGCGCTGGAACGCCGCCAGGCGCGTCATGAACGGCGGTCAGGAGCAGCTGCCAAAGTTGAGGACGAGCGGTCTCTTCCCTTTCGTGCAGTCCAGGATCCGGACCTGCCGCCGCTCCTGGACCAGCACCACCTCGGTGTTGGGGGCAGCCTCCCCGAGGTGCGCCGATTTGAGAAAGTCCAGCTTCTGGCCGTGCCACACGGCCCTGAGGGACTCCCAGGTGAACATCTTGTTGGAGTCGGAGACGCAGACCGGCGGGTCGTCCGGGCCGTCCTGACGCTCGCCCATTTTCAGCAGCACTTTCCTCCTGATGCACAGGAAGTCCAGGAGCCACAGCATGACGGCGGCCAGCAGGAACCGGGGCAGCAGCATCAGGCACAGGGCTGCGTGTTTCAGCGCCCTCGCCATTTGGACACCGCCGGAGTCGTCCATCATCTCTTCCCTTGCCGATAGGACGATGCCGAAGCAACTAATATTCAGTCACCTTTAGCCATTGGAGAAAATCATCTGACGCAGGCAGGACCTCTTTTTATAGGTACAGCGGCATTTGAATAATAGAAGGAAAAAAAAAAAACACGCCTCCGGTACCCGCACCGCCCACTCACATGGAGGGGATTACCTCCCGTCAACTCTGAGCTTCAGAAACACAGAAGAGGTGGGGAGTGACGAGAGGAGAAGAGTGAAGGGGGGGGGGGGGGGCTGTCAGTCCAGATGCCTGTTAAACATGACACTCCTTGTGAGAACGTGCAACTGAGTGGGCCGTTTCCCCGCTCTGTGTTTATTGTTTCCGTGGAATGGTGGGGGTAAACCCACGCGTTCACATCACACACACACACGCACGCCTACCCGCACACACACGTCGGGGAAAACATTTGTCTCATCCGCCGGGAATCTAGGATCAGTTTGTCACGATGCATGCCAGCGGCCGCCAGACGGCGCTGCAGTGACACCAGTCGAGAGGCCCCGCGTTTCAGAAGCAGCGAGGACCCCACGAACACTTGGAGCGAGAAGCGGGAGAGGCAGCAAACTGATGGCCTTCTGGTCAGCTTAAATGCAGGGACTTCATTTTGGTTAAAAAATAAAAATAAAAAATAAGCTAAAGTTTGGACCTATACCCAACCTGGTGGTGACAGCATCATGCTGTGGTCCAGATTTAAATCAAGTTAAGAATTTTGTTGCAAGATATCAAGATTGCTATTCACTGAAACTCTCTCTTTCTCTCTTTTTTGTAAATCAATTCACTGAGTGTGAAAACTTGGTGTCTATAAAGTGTCGACTCAATGGGGCTCAAAGTTTATTGTTTGGAGAGAGAATCACATAAACTTATTGTAGGTGAAGAACAGAAGACAGAAAACAGACATCATAAAACCTTTTTAATAGATTTTAGTAAAAAAAGAACAACAAAAACCCAAAAATCAGGTTTATTTCCACGTCACGAAAAAGTTAAGGGAAATCTAGAATTTTTTGGGATTATGTATGAAACACTATGTGTGGTAAAAACAAACAAACAAACAAACAAAAAACCCACACTAAACAACTAAATCCGGAAACCAAACTGAATGAAAAGTACAGGACAAGTTCTGGAAACAAAAATACTTCAGAACTGGAGTGGAGGTTCATCTTCCAGCATCACAAAACACTCAGCCATCAGTTCAGTTGAATGATTTCACATCAAAAGCATATTCATATTTGGAGTGGCCCAGTCAAAGTCCAAGGCAATCCTGTTGGAGCATTGCTCCTCCAAGAAGTTTTCCCATTTAATCTGATTGGTCCTCATCTGTTTCGCCGAGAAGAACAGGTTGAAATTTCAGCTTCTAGATCTGCAAAAAACGGGTGGAGACAAGAGCCACATTTTAGAAAGGAAAGCCTGGATGTGCTAATTGTTTTCAGTCAACTAAATTCCGGTGTTTTTGGCCAAATTCTCTGGCTGATGGTGAATGAAAGCCACCGGATCATGCTCGTTATTTTAAGCGTTTCCCAGCGCAATCACAGTTAGGTTTTAATTATCTTTAATTCAATTAGCCTTAGCATTGTGTATCTTCGCCGAGGTATTTTATCTTGTCAGCTGAATTTCTCGCGTTCTGCCGCCCAGATTTTTCCCTCGGCGGCTCTTGTTTGGTAAACAGAGCCTTAATTAAGTCTAACATGGGGGTTATTGAACGCGTTTCGTCGGGACCAGCTCCAAAACAATGCCAGTCCGATCTTTTGCTTCGACCCCCAAATCCTGTTACCTCACCCTGAAGTGTTTTCCGCCACCTCGCAGGTGTTAATGAGATGGAAACCATGTGACTGCTGGGCTCCGTTTCTCTGGCTTAACAAAAGCAGCATGTGTCCAATCGCCGGAGCTCTTCCTATGGTGATTTCCCGCTTTTTTTCTGTGTCTGTTCCGACTGTGTCACAGGTCAGCAACAGAGTATGTAATGTCTTATAAAAAATATTTTATTGTTTGTTTTTTTTCTTTCTTTGATTGTTTTAAGAAGTATTGACGTTCTCTAGATGATGCCTGACTTTGAAATAACTTACAACTATTGGTGACATTGTTTCTAAATGTTCTTTTAATGATTAGTACTGGGTTATTAGCATGTCCTATAAAGTGCTATTGAAAAAAAAAAAACACATCTGATCTGCTTGTGAGCTCAGATATTCTTGAATCTCATGCTGTGGGTCTTCTTTTGTTCTGCATGACGTTGGTGTAACTTCCTTTTTTTTTTACACTACCTTCAAAAAGTATTAACGGGTTTCCCTCTTCATCTCAGTCGGATTTTACGAGACAGACAGTTTTTTTTTTTTGTGGAAATGCAATCTTCAAAGTGTGGCATGCATTTGTATTCAGGCCCTCTATCTCTGACGCCCATAAATAAAATCAAACAGCATCATAAAGACAAAGGAGCAGAAAGCCAATCAGACAAGCAGCCAAGAGGCCCATGGTAACTCTGGAGGCTCACAATAGGCTTCTTGTATTGGACCTACTGGGATTGATTAAATGTTGACCCCCTATGAAGATCTTGGATGGCTTTAAAATTGATCTTTTTCTAATTGATTAACACAATTAGACGTCCATATGAATTCTTTTTTTTTTTTTCCAGTGTTGTTTGTCATCATTGCCCCTTCAAAAAGCACCCTGACACTTTTGGATCACTCTGGAAGAATTTTGTCCAAGATGTTTTTTTTTTTCTTTCTTTCTTTAAAATTCTTTCAATTCGGCCACATTGAAGGCTTTCTTGGCACAAATAATCTATTTGAGGCAAAACCAGAGCATCTCAAGAAGATTTAAGTCCAGCATTGTGCCAATCCAAAACTGGACACCCACCTTCAGAAAGTCTCCCTTTTCCTCCAAGACCAAGGTTTTGGAGTTCATCAAGAAATGAAACGGGGAAATATAAGTTAGCTTTTGTGTTACGCTTGGTTGACAGTATTTTTGGCCGCGGAACTTGACAGTAAATGCAGTTATTTTTATTTATTTATTTTGCTGTCTTTCTTTCCGTTGAATCAAAAGTACTGACCTTAATTAAAGCAAGTGAAACCTGCAGAGCTTTGAACGTCGTTCTGAGTTATTTTGTGACTCCTGGGAGAGTTACTGCTGAGCTCTCTCAATAAATCTGGCCGGGTGGAAAATATGAATAACGACTTGCTCTGGTCCTGTGGAGCTTCGATGACTGAAAGATACGATTAGGTGCAGTTAATTCATCAGTGTTTAGGTAACCTTTACCCCCACAGTGAACTCAATCGCCATTTGAAAACTGCACGTCGAAATTGCTCAAGTTACCTCTGCCTCATTTGAAAATTTGCTCGATGACCTGAGATGTTTGTGTTGCACGAGAAAAGAAAAGGTAGGGGAAGAAACATTTTTCCCAGCACTGTAAGCAGATCTTAGAGACGTTTTTCCGCCCAAATACTTACACTCGCATAAAACACTTTGCCTGTCACTCACTGTAAATCTCCACTGAGTGTGTAGCAGCGACAATGAAAGTGGAACAGTAAATTTAGTTGGACTGTGCCACTGTGACCAAAATGAACATCAGATCGCATTTAAGGAGCAATAAGTAACGAAATCCCGCATGATTCCGGAGGGATAACGGCTTTCTCTTGCGCCAATGTGTTCTGCGTTTAAAGTTCATTTTTACGCACTCTGAAAGGCTTATCCGAAGACAGTTTCAAGCCGCTGCGTGTGAACACAGCTGCAAGTGCTCTGCTCGCCCGGGTGAATTTACAGCTCAGGCATCGGCGTCTGACGAGGTGGCACAGCGTTTGGCGCAAGGGATGAGTCCAAATGCTGCCCCTTTTGGCTTAAAACACCAAACAAAACACAACACACAATCGCAATGTCATCCCGGCCAACCCTGTCTGGCTCCGCACTTCCACCTTCTGAGTAAGCTCCTCCGGTTTCTAAATGAGGCTATTCAGACGGATGACTTGGTAACCGAGGGCGAGCTGACCTGCTCTGCTCACAAGCAGTGGCAGCAGTCTTCAACACAAGACATGTCTGCGTCCTAATCCAGGACGTCCTATTGATCAAAGTAAAAAAAAAAAGGAAGAAAAAGCATTTTTATGTCTCATTAATGCAGAAATAGTTCAGAAGGTATTTAAATTATTTTTTTTGTTTGTTCTGCTTTGAGATTGATGTCCCGTGGGATCTGACACAGATCTTGTGGAAGAGAGAGGTTCTTAACCCAGGAGCTGCCATGGAATAAACATCACCGCCGTAGTTAAAGCGCTTAACCACAGCGATCGAGGGAACTAATAAAGATGGCGGAATAAAACGGAAATTGAAAGTATCCAAACCAAGGAGGCTGGGCACTGCTGTCTCTGCAGTGTTTCTTTCTTTCTCTCTTTCTTTCTTTTTTTTTACATGGTTTATTTGAGAGCTGGAAATGCAAGGCAAAAAAGTTTGAAAGTTTTTAAATTTGCAAGAAAGGACTTAATTCCTCCTCGTAACAAGAGCACACTTCTTGTTTGTCTGTTCTTTTGTCTTCACTCACTAAGCAATCAGAAATAAATCAGTTAATCTGATGGTAAATTAAAAGAAACTCCATTCATGTTTTTTGATGGCCAATTTAATTAGAAGAAACATCAAAATCCATTTTGTTTGTGTTTTTATTTCTTTCTTTTTTTTGTTATCATTTGCTCCTAATTTGGATAGATTGAAAATATTAATATATTAATATTAATATTAATATTCTAACAATTATCGGTCTTTGACAGGGCAAACTTTCATTGTTGTGCCGTTATTGAAATACTACTTGGTCTCAAACATCATTATTATTGTTTATCACAACAATTACCGGGACAATTTATCATGCAGCTAAATTTGTTAGATTGAGACGGGCCTTTCTGTCTCAATCTAATAAATTTCACAGCCGGGATGCTGGCACGCTAAGTGGAGCTCGTTCGATCCAGTGGACGATGCATCGACTCAAACAACTCGGGGACTCACAAATCTGCCGAATGGATGAGCTCATAGTTCACTGGACGACAGTGACCCACGATGTGGTGGATCCAAAACTTAACCTGGACAGAAA